CCCCCCCCCCCCCGCAAGATACTTATGAATTACAGAGCAAAAAATAGTGGCTTCACAGGGAGAAAGCTGGCAGACATCACTTTAGCAAGTGGTCAAGGTCAACCTCAGCAATGACAGGACAAATGCAGGTGAGATGCCTCCTGACATCACGCACTGGGCTCTGAGAAGGACACAATGTCACCTCTGTGGTATTCTTGCCCAAAATGCATAACCTTGATTTAATCAAGAGGAAACATCACAAACAGAAATTGAGGGCTTTGGACAAAATAGCTGGTCAAACGCTCTTTAAAAGTGTCAAGGTCATGAAAGACAAAGAAAAGACTGAGGAATTATTCCAGCTTAACAGAGCCTAAAGAGACCTGACAACTAAATGCATGATTGAATCTTGGACCAGAGAAAGGACATTCGTGGGAGAAGGGTACCTGCCTGTTTTGATAACTGCGGTTATGTAAACTGTTAACATTTCTCTGGGCGAAGGGTATATGAGAGCTTTTTAAAACCTTTTGGTAAGTCTAAATGATTTCACAGTGAAAAGTTAAAACAAATTATACTTGAAAACATATACATTAGAGATGAGGCTTTCTTTCTCCACTTTCCAGCGCCTGACATTGTAAAGCCTCACGGGCTGACATACAGAGTGGGATACGGGCTCAGCGCCTACCTGGGAAGTAGGTGCTGGGACCTGTGTGGAACCTTGTTAGAGTCAAACTCAGGCTTCTGAGATTTATGGACACAATACATGATAACACTCAAAAGGCCGAAAAACATCCTTAACAGGTTTCCAGGGAGGGTATAACGGGTGCCCCAATTCCCTCCTTCAACCTCTAGAAGGAGCTGTGCCCTTGTGAGGCCCCAGCCCTGACCCAAGGAGCGAGAAATGCAGGAGAAGGCAGCAAAATGTTCATCACTCACTTGTCCTGGGACTCAATATACACATATAGATGAGGCTCAAAACACTTGGAAACAATGCCGTGAAATGGACTGTCTGGGGCTTTAGGCTTCTTTGGCTGTAAAGCGGAAAAAAAAGAAAGAAGAAAAGAAAAATACTTGAGCCATCTTTGCAAACTTTCAAGCAGTTTCAAAGAAAACATCCCTTCAAAGTTCACTCCCAACTTACAGATAAGAAGCACTCAGTGTTACTAGACTGAGACTATGTCCTGTATTATGAGTCATGCCAGTTTGTGAACAATACGCCAGCTTTGCTGGCATCATTTACGTGCTCTGTGCGGTGAAAGATTTATTGCTACTTTGATAACACATGCGTTTTCAATTTGGAAGCTCTTCATCATCTGACTGATGTTTTCAAAATGTAAATTCTAGCTAATAACAGCACCGCAGAGCTGTGCAGTGCTTTGGAACATATAAAGTGCTTTCACACCATCCAGTTTTAAAAGCCTCCATTTACTGCTTGTTATTATGAGCCAAGCACTTTGGTACGAAATATCTCATCTATTCCTCAAAACAATCCTCAACATAGGAATTATTACTACTATTTTACACCTAAAGAAAGGGAGGCTCAGAGGGTGTTAGCAGCCTGCCTCAAGGCACATGGTGAAGTTTCCTGTCTCCTAAACCAGGACTCTTTCTAGTAGATCATTGCTGTCTTGCGGTGCTTCCTAAGACTGTTGAATTTCACCAACAAATATAAGAAAAAAAAAAAAAGTAGGGGGTCAACACAGGGTTGCTAACTTTTTACTTTGTTACTTTCTACTCTAACCACAAGTTCCTAAAAGAAAGAGTATTTTATACACAAACATTTTATAAGAGAAAATAGTCGCACAAAGGCCGTCCTTCCCAAGAAAAGACAGTTAGTCAGTGACCTTATACCAGATACAAAGACAAAGAGATAGACAGACACACAGACTGGCTGTTTTGTCTTTGTTTTTTGCCTTGCACCAGCTAAAACCTGGATCAGTACTGGTCCCCAACTGAAACTGGGAAACCACTGAGAAAAAGGTCATCCGGGCAGGCAAGCATTTAAAAACTATTATTTGCTACTTAAATTCCCTTTCAAAACATCTAAAAAATAAACAAGGATCTTCCTACATATTTCTTTCTGATCCTAAAAAAAAAGCCATTTCTGTTTGTTGGTATCTGAAAATAGACAGAGGTCCTTGAGCCTTTGCTGGGCTTGATACAAGAGTACAATCTGGATATAAATTGGCACGCACAGCACACCTGTTGAATTGAATGGCTCGTATCGTTTAATAAAAAGAGGAAAAGCTAAGCCCCCTAATGACAGACAGAAGTGATTAACTTCTTCTAGTGATTTAAAACAAATAAAACGTTGTAATGGTTAAAAGTATCTGTAAAAACTGGTAATGATCACCAAAAATTAAATGTCAACTGTAGATATATCCCATTTAATTTCATGTTTAACTCTCTTCCCTTTTCACCTTCTAAGAGTTCCATGTCTTTAATTTTCTCTGCAGGATTTGAAGAAACTCTGGTCCTTCCTAAGAATAACTACAGTCTGGGCTATTTTCTCTTATCATCCAGAAGCCACTGCCAAGGTCAGGCCTTAGGCTGAGACTGTAAGAGGCTCTCAAGTTCGGGTTCATTGAGTTTAAACTGACTGGATTCAAAGTCCCACTTCATTTCCCAGATGCCTTAGGAGTTTTTCCACATTTCCATTAGTTTAAAATGAGGGATCCACGATGCAGTAAGATGGCTGTGAAGGTATTGGTCCTTATCTATTTGTTCTACATTTTCCACCTTTTAAAAAAAATTATTCTATTCTTTTCAATAAGATGATCAGATAAATGAATAGACAAATGTGAGTTAATCTTCTGTAGGATTAGATATCCTGATTTTAGAACTGGAAAATATGGCCACTATAGCCATATATCTTTTCATTAATTAAAATAGAATCTTCATAAATATTATAATTATTCCCTTTCTTTATATTTTCTTCCCTTGACAAAAATATTCACACATCTGTAGGATAGCTTCTGGAAATTAGAAATGGGAGTTTATATAATATAGAATGTTGTCATGTTTTAAATCAACATGTGTATTTTGTATTTGGCTTTATTTACCTACTAATTTATGTGTACTTTTCCAACTACTGACAATGTTTCAATTTATCACTCTTTTTTTTTTTTTTTTTTTTAAAA